AGGTTTCAGTAGCAAAGGACAAATCACTGGTTCATCACTGCCAGGTTTTTTCATATCCCTTACAACATGTGCTTTCCTAGCTAACCTCTGTTGTTCATCTTAACCAACCTACAAACATGGTGAAGATGACTAGCCTCTGATATTTTTATATCAATGAGTCAATAATCTGTGATGAAAGCAAATAATGTTATTTTATTGTGATATAATGTAGAAAAGGTATATTAATAATCCAAGCACCTACATATTGAAAATCAACAATTATTAAAAAAAAAAAAATGTAAAACATGTGAAGATAGTTTTAATCACAAAAGTAATTAAGAACAGTGTTACAACGCAAAAAAATCTGAAAAACCTAAATTAAGTGAATCCTTAAATATTCTATGTTTCTTTTTTTTATTTAGAATCTGAAGGTATTTGGGCAAGATCTGTAGAAGTTATATGATTTCAGTATAATGTGCATTTGCATTTGTTTTGCCCAAATCACCTATCACTTTAGGAGAAACAAAATTAAATAAAACTAATAACAATGCAAGGTGAAAAAAATGGTGTGCTTTTTGAGGAATATGCTAAACTATAAATTAAACCAGAGAATGATGAACAATTTAGAGAAACAGTTGCAGAAAACAATACAAACTAATAGGTGATACAATTATATATATTTGAAAATGCCACACAACTGCAAAACATGCCAGCAAAATCACTAGATTCAATGACAAAAGGATAATTCAGAAAACCAACTCACAGGGAAGGGTATGTTGCAAAGTATATTTAACTTATTTTCAAAGTTACAAAATATTTGTTCCTTCAGAAAGGCATGATTCAAAGCATGAAAAATGCAGAGCTGTCCATACCAAATAATAGAATGATCTAATCTTTTTTGATTACGATGAGAGTATCATTATGAAAGATTTTACAGTGAATTATATTGCAATAAAGGAATTATAATAATTTAACAAGTGTAACTAAGAAGTATGACAATTATTTAAGTTATGTGTTCTATTTAAGGCTGGATCAACCAATACTATTTATAAATATGGAGCAACTGTATCTCTAAGTGTTTTCGTTATTTGTCACAAGTAACCTCCTCCTTGGTGTACACTATTCATTTTACAAATGATGCATTATAAAATGGAAGCTGGACAAGCCAGTTGCAGGGCCCACTGAGGGATGGCTACATTTAGGTACATTAAGTTCTGCCTACATAGAGCATGGACTAAAAGATCATATCTCACATTACATTACTTATGGGTTCATGTACACTAAAAGATAAGCAGTCTGACTATACTCCTCTAACCTATGCTTCAAGGGTTAAATTGTACTTTTTAATACTATGACAGGGATGTGTGAGTAATGTTATTAAGGAAAAAGGCTGATGTATTATTTGACAAATGCATTTAAAATAATAGTAAATTATTTTTATTCTAGATCTGGCAATCTTTGTCACTTTGTTATAAACTGCATATTCCATAATGCACCTAAAGCCATAATGCTGGCAAAGCATCAAGGGATATGTAGTCCACAGTATCTGGTATGCCAGAGATTGGCTTGATGTACAGATAACGTTATTTTTACAAAGTGTGAATTATCACACATATCAGTGTTAAGATTGTTTAGATCCCTCAGGGCTGTTGACATGAGGTTTGCCACAAGGAATGTTGCAAACTTGTTCCACACAGTGAGTGCTTTTACACAAGCATTGCACAATGCTGGGGTTAAACCAGTGTTCTTGTTTGTAGGGGAGGGAAAAGGCATTAAAATGTGTGAGGCATATTCATTTTCTTATCCAAAGTATTCATACACACCTGGATGGCATTATATTAAAGGATCACTATACGGTCAGGAACGCAAACATGTATTCCTGACCCTATAGTGTTAAAACCACCATCCAGCCCCCCTGGGTCGCTCATGCCTCCCTAAGTATAGCAAAATCTTACTGTATTCAAGCCTGAAGCTGTAGATCTGCATGCTGTTTGCCTCAGAAAAACAAGCTGTCTGCTGACATCATCAGAAGTGGTGGCGTGATCCAATCACAATGCTTCTCCATAGGATTGGCTGAGACTGACAAGGAGGCAGATCAGGGGCAGAGCCAGCATGATTCAAACACAGCCCTGGCCAATCAGCATCTCCTCACAAGATGAATTGAATAAATGAATCTCTGTGAGGAAAGGGTTCAGTGTCTGCATGCAGAGGGTTAAGACACTGAATGTTTGGATGCATTTTAGGCAGCCATGACCCAGGAAGAATCTCTAACAGCCATCTAAGGAGTGGCCAGTAAAGTTATCACTAGGCTGTAATGTAAACACTGCATTTTCTCTGAAAAGACAGTGTTTACAGCAAAAAGCCTGAAGGTAATGATTCTACTCACCAGAACAAATTCAATAAGCTGTAGTTGTTCTAGTGACTATAGTGTCCCTTTAAGAAGACAATGAAATAAAATCTGTTGGTAAGTAATAAAGCTGCAGAAATAGAAATAATCATATTACACACTTACATATGAAGTACATAAGTTGCAATCTCTGGAGAACATTTAATTTTTGTAAGTTAGCAAACCAGTCGGGACATGTTGGTTGTGATTGACAGACACCATAAACCTTAAACATGTCCTGTCATATAACCTGGAGAAAGAGCATCCTGAACAGGCAAAATGACTCTCTTATATATTGGGATACAATAATTATGAAATCTGTGAAACCATATAATCTGTTTGAATATTATTTAAAAAATAAGTAAGTTTAAGTTTTCCCACAAAGAAACTGACATGTCTTTGTGAGTTTTAGTGTTTTCGGTGTTCTGCTTCCTTTTTTAATTGAGCATACAATATGTTTTGTCTATTTTTATTACTTTCATGTTTAATTGCGTGTTATATTTAAGGAACACACCACTGCCCAAATGGGTGAAAATGTTGAAATCGCTGTTCATTAGATATAACCCTAATGAATATATGCATACATGTTTTCATGCTACCAAATTGTATAATCTTAAAAGAGTGTCAAAATGTTGAAATCGCTGTTCATTAGATATAACCCTAATGAATATATGCATACATGTTTTCATGCTACAAAATTAGATTACATAGTTTACATTGGGGGGTATATCTTAAAAGAGCTTGCAAGCCCTCTACTTAGTGGTGTCACTACACTACTGAACAGGGGCCCGGTCGACCGCTGCGACCCTATAATATCACAGCTGGGCCCCTGTAGTAATGGCACTTCTTAGAGCTCCCAGCTATAATGAGAGAGCGCTGCAAGGGAGGAGGAGGCGGCTTAACAAGCAGCAGCAGGGTGTGCATTTGTGTGGCTGTCTCAGAGTGTAGGCATGTGTCAGTGTTTGTACATGTTGGTGTGTGTATTTATGTCTGTGTATTTGTCAGTGTGTATATGAATTTGTGTATATGTCAGTGTGTATATATGTGTGTTAATGTGTATGTTTATGTGTAAGTATGCATGTATGTGGCAGTGTAGGTGTGTATGTGCATATATCCAAGCTGTCAAACACCTACACAACATGCAAACACATGTCTGCATTTAAAAAAACAACATTACATACAAACACAACCCTGCAATCAAATGCAAACATTACATACAAACACACCATTGTATTAAAACACTAAAATGATATACAAGCACCCCTTCAAACACTACACAAAAGTACACTACTGCAATCAGTGGCAACAGTACATCCGAATATACCTCTATATGCACACATATACTCAATACAAAAAGATGCTTATATTCAAATGCACAAACATTGCTCACAAATAAAACCCTGCAATAATCGATAAAAGGTAGATCCCCAGCTGGAATATCATCGGTGGAGTTGTATGACAGATGGGCATCTACCCTTTGGCCACTCACTAGAGGGGAGCTCAAAAAACTAATGATAAATCAGTAATGATTTATCAAACTGCAGGTTTATCATAAAAATCAGCACTTTTATAAAGTGCCTTTAAAATGGCATGAACCTCATCCATAAAGCACTTCAGCAAGCTGTATTAAAATATAATTTACTTAATATCTGTTTTTATACTTTTTCTTAAGGTATAATTGGTCCTTATAATTGGTCCTTAATGTTAACTGATTTTAACTATGTTACAGTTAAATTAGACCAAAGCTTGGTTTGGTGTAAAATTTAATGTAACTGAACACACCTATTTAAAGGAGGTGTAAGTGTAGTAACTATAAGCTGGGGTGGTTTAGGTTATATTTGGGGACTAATTTTGTGTAACTTTTGTGCCCCAATGAAGAGTTAGTAGGTCCAGAATATCAAAGCATGACTCTTTCAGACCCACGAAACCTGGATACTTTTAAATAAGCATTTATTACACTGCCATTGTTATTAACAGAAATATTTTAAGTGCAAGTTTATAACAAATGTTTTGAGATTCCAGTTACTGGATACATTTATTTTTTGTTTATTAACCCCTTAAGGACAGCAGGCATGCTATACCATCCTTGGGGACCCAGCTCTAAATGCCGGCGGGCGGCATAGTACGTCCCCGCCATCCAGGGGACTTGCCTGGCATCCCAGGCAGTCCCATTGCTTCTGATCCGACGAGGTTCTTGCAAGGACCTCATGATCACATGGACGGAATAGCCATCCACAGCAGTGCCAGCAGTCGGACTGCCTGGAATGACAGGTAGTCCCCATGCTGCCTGTAAAAAGTGAAATAAAAGCTAAAACACAGTGTAAAATAAAATTATATATATACACACTAAGATCATATATATATATATAAATATATAATGTATATGATCTAAGGTTTATATATATATATATATATATATATATATATATATATATACACTCACTAAGTGTATTTTAATATTATATATATATATATATATATACACATACATATATAATTATATATACATATATATATTTTAATATCAAAATACATGTAGAATGATATTAATTATATATATATACTTACATATATATATATATATATATATATATATATATATATTGCAAATGGGGTATGTCCAGTTTTTTTAGTAGCTACTTAGTCACAAACACTGTCCAAAATTGGCATTCAAATTATGTTTGCATTATTTTTTGTTTACACGCAAACAAATATTAATGCTAACTTTGGCCAGTTTTTGTAACTAAGTGGCTACTAAAAAAGACTGGACATACCCCATTTGCAATACCTTGGGTTGTCTACTATTGCAAATGGTGTGCCATCATGGGGGTAATTCTCATTCCTGGGCTACCATATGGTCTCAAAGGCAACATAACCAATCTGGCTAATTTCAATGTGAAAAAAAATGAAAAATATAACATTCTATATTTGACCCTGTAACTTCCCAAAACACCATAAAACCTATACATAGAGGGTACTGTTTTACATGTAAGACATCGCTGAATAAAAATATGTGTATTTTATTGCAGTAACGGCTAACAGTATTACAACATTCACAGTTAAAATGTAATGCAGAACTAAAAAAATAAAAAAATTCTTAATTTCTCAATTTGTTTTATATTTTATTCATATTAAATTATGTTTTATAGCTAAATATTTGATGCTAAATGAAATCACTATTTCTCCTGAATAAAATTATATATAATAAGTGTGGGTACACTTAATATAAGAGAGGTGAATTATGGTTGAACAGACATATAGTCAAATACCAAGTTTTATTTTGATTAAAACGTGTACATTTGGTTCAGTCCTTAAGGGGTTAAAAAAAGTACATTTACTGTTGATCAGTGCAGTCCCTGATGGTAAAAATCTATTGATTCAAAGGCATCTTGTAATCATTCCTTAACCACATCCTCAATTATATTGCTAATATACCTTAATTAATAAGGTGGAAAAAACATTAAATGTAATAAGGAATTTATAAAGAGCCAATGTTATATAATTAAATTGTATCACTCTCATGTTAGAAATATAAATAATGGATCTGCTATTAAAAATTAAAGCATGTGGCCAGAGATGAATGCACTAAAGAGCTTAGGACATAGATCCACGACCTTCTGTTGACATTCTATGACATTTTTTAGTTCAGTATATTCTTCTAGGTGAGATTGAAAGAGGTATTACTGTGATAGTTATGTATCTTGCAAAACTTTACCCATATGGTATACTCAATATTAATAATTCATCTCCAAATTGGTTTATTAATGGTAGAAATCCATTTAAATTCCCAAATTATCTTAAATTGTAATTTAGGTATGTACTAAAAGTATGTCAGCCTTATTTAGAGAGTAGCCCAGAAGAGTAGTTACAAATTAAGCAATAGAGTGAGTGCAAAGAAAAGGTTCATTATATTTTACTGATCTTCCTCCACTCTGGTAATTGTTTTTTGCCTGGTGGAGTTATAAAATGTCTATGTTGAAGTTCCATTCATGCACTTTGCATCATGTGAAACTCTGAATACCAGACCATTATGAAACTGCACAATAATTTATTTCCCTAAAAATATATATATATATATATATATATATATATATATATTTTTTTTTTTATCAGCTTGGCGGGATGAGGACACTGAAAGCCAAGTGTGTAGGTTGTGATACCACTTAATGCGGAACTCTCTAAGAAAATAATTAGCAATATGCAATTCTGCATAAAATATTGAGCCTTCTTAAGGTCAACGTGAATATGGTCTTTTTAATTTTAAACACTTTGAAGATAATTGGCGAAGGCAAATGCTCTTACAAGAACTGCTTCATTTCAGCAGATACGTTTTTTTTTTTTTTTTTAAACTATACAAATGCTGACAACTACCCAATTACAAAAGTCAAATCCCCAAACATTATGCAAGGAAACGTAAAAAAATATGCGTCTTTCAAAGAGGAAGCCATGGTTATAATTGATAACAAATGTGATTCACAAATGCCTATATAACAGGGATATATATATTATTATTATTATTATTCCCATTCGGCCCATCTAGTCTGCCCAATTTTCTAAATAATTTCATTAGTCTCTTATATCGAGGATAGCCTGATCACTTGCTCATAAATAATTTTCATTAGTGAGCTCCCTCTGTCACTGATTTCATGCACTGAGAATTGTTTTCTCTTTTCCTGAGCTTTCTCTATCACAGAGGTCTCATACTGTTACTGAGCTTCCCCCTATCCAGAATTCATAAAGTCATAAAGTTAGTTTTGTTACTGAGCTTCTTTTTTCACAGAGGTCATGCACTCATAATATTTTTTTCCCTGAGTTTCCTATATTATAGAGGTCATGTGCTAAAAAAAAAAGTCAGGGATCAAAGAACCTAAGTTGCATTCCCATTTCATCTCTACAGCATCGAGTCTGAAGCTTACTCAATTAGACCAACACACCAACCACATTAGCCTGGCAGACACTTTTAAATCTACAGTATACCCAGTTAACACATCCACGCGTCACATTTTGATTGAATAAATATTTGCGTGAAATGTATTTGAAACGAGGGATGCATAGCTAACATATAAACATGTCATAAAAACAGCAGTTTTGTGTATAAATTGTTTTGCAGAAAAACGTAAAAATTTAAAATACTTTAATGTACACAGTTTTACATTTTCAACTTTGCTTATAGGAATTTGTAAGGAACCTGAAGGCATTACTAGCAGTACAACTTACTGAAAATAGCAACAAAATATAAAAATAATGTCTGCATGATGCCCATGTACAGGTAAATCATAGATTTATGATTTATGATTTATGAAAAAAGGGGAGGTAACCCCTAAATGGTTAATTCAATTAGGAAAAACATAAACAAAATACATCTCCACAGTTCTATCTATGTGAGAGCACGTGATAGTTAAAACGTAACTTTTATTACTTCAGTAAAATAGGTAATTATTACACCTAAAATGCAAATAATTAAAATAAACCTCCTATATTAATAAAGTGATCATAAACAAGGTAGTTTCCACTTATGAGGACAATTCAATGCTAGTATCCACAAGTAGTACCTGAAGTGGTTGTAGTACTACGTGAGGAAATAGTGGCGCATTGATGTGCAAAGAATAGGTATTAGCCACTCTCAATACATATGCCTTTAACTTGTATTGCAAAAGCTATAGCTATAGCTAAATAGTAACTATAAGGCAATTGAGAGTATATCGGGAAGCGAGAGAGTATAGATAGTCCTAATCTGGATAGTTAGAGCAACCTAAAGTGTCTTCGAGGGCACCCCTTACCCAAAATTCTATCCTCTCTCTAATATCCCACCTTGCCCAATCATCAGTGTAAAGGAAAAATTACCAGATAAGGTTATTAAAGAATAAGCCAAGATAATTAGCTGGATATCTATATATATTGAGAGTGGCTAATACCTATTCTTTGCACACCAATGTGCCACTATTTCCTCATGTAGTACTACAACCACTTCAGGTACTACTTGTGGATACTAGCATTGAACTGTCCTCATAAGTGGAAATAACCTTGTTCATAATCACTTTATTAATATAGAAGGTTTATATTAACTATTTGCATTTAGGTGTTTATTTGCTCTGTATGTTCAGTGTTTCATGCAGGAAAACTGCACATACTGACCCCTACCATCGCCATGGTGGTTGGAGAAACCCTTTAAGGCAAAGCTGACTTTGCAAACTGCAAATGCTTTTGCTGCTTTTGTCTCTCTAAGAAGAAGCTGTCTGCACAAGAGGACCTTAGTTGGATGCATTCACGCCTGGCCAACCTTTACATTTTTTGAGAAGACCCACCCCTTTCTGGGCACGTATACTCCTTTGGGTGGTGCTAGTTACATGATTCATGCCAGTGGCCTACTCTTTTACCCGCCCATTGATGTCCTGCTTCACTGGACGCTGTTGCTATGTGGTACGGATTTCCGGAATATGTTGGTGGTATAAAAATGCCAAAATACCAAAAATAAAATATAAATAATACTTAAAGCAGGAGATTAACATACGGTATGTGTTTTCTTACAATAGCATCCTGTTATTTTTTTCCTCCAGAACTACCTTCACCAGATACATAATGCTTAAGAGGTATTACTATTTTAGTGTTTTCTGTCATTAGGCCCATTGTAATTGTTAGAACCAAGCCCAATGGGTGCTTTATCTGGCTCTTTAAAGACTGGTAATTATAACTAAAGTATGGGGGTAAGTGAGGCTTTAGTGACTAGATTTCCTACTACACACGAAAATTAAAATGTTTATAATGGATTCTGGTATTGAAAGGGTTAAACACCTATTCTAGCCCATCGGATTCCCTCTTCTCAGACACAGATAATCTTTTAGTCATTGTAACGAACTGAGGTACTTCGTGAAGTACGTTCATTCGCACACTCCCAAAATGCTAGGGATTTAGTGATTATAGCCCGTTCGCATAGTTCGTTGATTTGTACGTTCCTGAAATCCAAGCTGTTTGTGAGAATAAATCAAGCGGATTTTCGTTCGCAAACCCAAACATCAGTCGATATTGACATATGCAATGAGGAGCCCAGTTGTGCATTGTCGCGCTTTAACAGCTCGACCGGGCCCCTTCTATCCTGCACAGAGAGCTGGGGAGAAGTGACAGGATGTATCACCTCCTCCCAGCTGACTCACACAGCCACGCAGGAGGAGGAGGAAGCCGTGAGCATTGGGTCGGATAGGGAGAGCAGACCCCCAACTCTGATCAGCCACAGCCAGCAGAAGGTAAGAGCTGGGTGGCTTAATTTTTTTAAAGTGTGTGTGTGTCTCTGTATGTGTGTAATGTGTATGTATCTGTATGTAGTGTGGGTATATGTGTGTGTGTGTGTGTGTGTGTGTGTGGGTGTGTGTATCTGTGTGTTTGTATGTGTGTATGTGTATCTGTATGTAGTGTGGGTATCTGTGTGTTTGTATGTGTGTAGTGTGTGTATCTGTGTGTGTATGTTTGTAAGTAAGTAACTGTGTATGGGTAGTGTGTGTATCAATTTGTATGAGTGTAATGTGTGTATGTGTGTTGTGTTTATGTGTGTGTAGTGTGTGTGTGTATCTGTATGTGTATCTGTGTAATGTGTGTATTTGTATGTAGTGTGGATATCTGTGTGTTTGTTTGTTTGTAGATTTTGCTTGTATGTGTGTCTCTGTATATGTGTAGTGTGGATCTGTATGTGTACTGTGTGTATGTCTGTATGTGTGTAGTATGTGGTTTGTGTATACTGTATGTGTGTAATGTGTA